TTTTACACCCTATGGGGTTCTCATATAATATGTACTGAGACATCAGCCAAGAAAAATGTTAGGATTAATTTTTTATCATCAGCTACTGGCCTTACATAACCCTGGGGGGGAGGGGGAGTTGCACCAGGATAGTGGTTACAGACCACTACAACAAAAGTTTCATCAACCCGACGGTATATAAGCAGTAAGTCCAGGGTATCAAGGGAGGCCTGAAAACACGCTGTCCCTATATACCGTCGGGTTGATGAAACTTTTGCCACACTGACTGGATCGAGCAAAGTCTGTTTCTATATTATAGCAGCAGCAAGACCGTGGATCTTGAGCCTGGACTGAGTAGTTTGCATGCTCACACTGTCTGATAGCAGACAGACCTCCGATCCAGTGCTCCTCGGGCACACCGCCTCTGGGATTCCACCCATCCCCGCTTCATTGTGCGGCCGCACTTGCAAGGGAAACCCTTGGGTTTTCCCACAGGCGGGGAAGTATTCGAACAACGTTGGCCAGTGTCAGTTCGGATGAGCTGTGAGAGAAACCTCACGACCTCCAAAAGCACAACAAAATAACCTTTGGGATTACAAATCACCATACGGATATGTTCTACTGAAACACCTTATCTACATCAAATACGGAACCTCATATGGACTGTTGCACTTTGGCCCACATATGAAGTGAGTAATCCTGACGTATTTTTGATACATTTGTATCCGTTTTTTCTACACAGCACATGTGCTCATATCAGGGACTGCCTACCACCTTTGGTGGCTATTAGATCATCACCCCTACTGCTTTTGTCCATTACTCGGGTCACTTAAGGGAAGCCCTTGTCTTTTTTTAAGATTTTAGATGTTTTGTAATAGGTGATTTAGCTTTTTTTGTATTTTTTCTATATTTTTTTTTTCTTTTTTTTTTTTTCAGGGGAAAGCGCGAACGCAGTCCCCCACTACCACAAATTTTTTCTATATTAATTAAAATATTACCTTTGATATATTATATACCTACTGTGTTACTTGTTCACTAGACAGCTCCATTTGTGGGATTTCCTAGCCTAGGGGATATATTTGTTTTGAATCCAGTCCCTCCCCTGTCACGGCTCTCTGCAGTGACAGGATCGAGAAGTGAGCGAACGCCGGCATGTGTTCGCTCACTTCCCGATCTACTGAGACGACCTGTGACAGTCTCATTGTCACAGGTCGGCTAGAACTATGAGGATGAGTGAAAAGCACTCACCCTCATAGTTCTCCTTTAACTATTAACATAAATGTATCTTATGTGTGTATCACTCAGCTGTAGATCCTCCAATCATCTCCGAGTTCATGCTGACACTGTCCTTCCTTCTGGAGGGTGGTTACTTTTGTTCTCCATGGTTCCAGTGTGTGTTATAAAGTAGTCACCTCTCCAAGCTCACTCCTGTGATGGACTACAATCTCACGTTTAGTTTACTAATTTATATTGAGATTGTAATCTATCACAGGAGTGAGCTTGGAGAGGTGACTACTTTATAACACACACTGGAACCATGGAGAACAAAAGTAACCACCCTCCAGAAGGAAGGACAGTGTCAGTACCAATTCAGAGATTATTTGAGGATCTGCAGCCGAGTGATACACAAACAAGATACATTGTTGTTAGTAATTATGTTACTTGTATGCATTTTTAAGGTTGAACTCCTGAGTTTAGTGTCACTTTAAACCTGACCATAACCCACGTGACACACTATCTAAGGGCTTGTTCACACCATGTCCGCTGAGCTGTGTTTTTCTACACACCACTGCGTGTGTATGATGTGCACATAGAAATCAATTGGGGTTTTTTCCATATGCCCTATTCACATCATACATGAGGTAGTGTGAAGGAAAGGGGAACCATTTAAAAAAAAAAACAAAAAAAAAACACACAGCTCAATGGACATGGTGTAAACTAGCAGGCAGATCACACAGCAAAAAGGAGGGCTCGTTCACACCTCTGTGCTCGTCATTTGTTGCAACGCCTTTTTGGTTAGTTGGATCTTTAGTACCATTCGTTGCTATGGAAGATGAACTTCTTGGAAACCACCCAAAAACACAACAAGCCTTAAGGCTAGGTAGTGGTACACACCTGCACTACACCACACGACACCCGAGACGTGCGTCCCGGGTCTCATGTGGTCCTGCACAATGCAGGCAGCAATTGCCGCGCATCCCCATTGATTTCAATGGGGTGACATCCGCGCGGCAAATGCTGGAAAAAAAATACCGCGTGGCAAGGTGTCGTCTAGGTGTGAACCTAGCCTAAAAGCTGTGCCTGGCAGACCTGAATTGAATTCTTTCCACTGCTCACCACTGGGACCCTAGTCTGGTGTCACTGCATTCGTGCACAGTGAGAACCCTAAGGGCCCATTCACACCAATTGCAGTGCGTTCCAGAGCGGCAGCTGCTGGAATGCACAACAATCGCTCACTAAACTTCCCCCTCCGTTCTGAGCCAGGGGAGGGGGCATGGCGGTGCATTGAAGTCAATGGCACCGCAGCCACGCCCCCCGCCGGCCCACAGTTCAATCGGACATGTGCCAAAATATTAGTGAGCGATTGCTGTGCGTTCCAGCAGCTGCTGCTTTGGAACGCACCGCAATTGGTATGAATGGGCCCTTAAAGTAGAACTGAGCCTTTTTCTTTTTTTTTTAAGTTTTGGTTAGAGTAAAGAAGGGTTATAAACCATCAGCTTTTTTTTGCCATCTGTGTGCCACTGGGGAAGATTTCCCTTCACTTCCTGTCCAATAACCACAACAGGAAGCGAGAGGATATCGTGAGGGAAAGTAAGGGAAATCCCTGGTGGTCAGCAGAGTCACCAGAACTAGTGTCCCCATTGGAGGACTTCTCATTTTGGTAACCTACGATACGGGATTTTGTTTTCACAACTTTCACAAGGACAAATAGAGAGGGTAAATCTCCCTAATGGGGACACAGACAGCAATAAAAACCTGACATTTATTCTAAACCCTCTCCACTCTATCCAAAGCTACAAAAAAGGTTTTGGCTTTAGCTACACTTTAAATGGAGTGATGTCAAAAAAAATGTAAGCTAATTCAGATGCTGCTCATTGATGATTACAATTTTTATCTTCCTGAAGAATCAGCTGGTCCCCTGAGCACTGGCCCCAATATCCTGTTTTAGGGTGTATCCTTTCCCTTGCAGGGTCCTAGGCAGCCACCCTTGCGTGTGCTACTATGTTGTGTCGCCACAAACACACAGGTACAGCAAGGCAATCCACTCTCCTGCTCTTTACCCCTCTCCAAGCGAGTCGATGAACAGTTGCTGAAGACTGCTCTATCCTTTGTGATTTTGTGCTGGACAGGAAGTTCAAGGAAGTGGAGCTGACAGAGTTGGAGCTAGTCAGAAACATGATGACTGTAAATGCTTGGGCAAAAATGTAAAATACTTTGCAAGGCAATGTATATTTACTTGATCTGGATTCATTATTAAAAAAAGGCTTAAAGTGACATTAAACCCTCAGATTTTTTGACATAAACCAATACTGTAATGTGTGCCTTACTGTAATCCATGGTTGTTTCCCTTCTCTTTGCTGCTCTTCCTTTTAAATCTGCATGTCTTCTCATGCTGGACAGAACTTCTGTTTTGCAGCCGACTGCCTTGTCTCTGGAATGGATACATGGTGTCTGTGTGTAGGTTTGCAACCTGAGCCAGCACTACAGGAAGAGGCACTGAGCTGCAAAGGGAAGTTCTGCCCAGCATGAGAAGAGATACAGATTTAAAAGGAAGAGCAGCAAAGGGAAGGGAAACTACCATGGATTACAGTAAGGCACACATTACAGTATTGGTTTATGTTAAAAAATCTGAGGGTTTAATGTCACTTTAAGTGTTCAATACTACTTTAAGGCTAAACTCCCAGCACAAACCCTTACATTTAAAAGAGAACTATGGGGTAACCTTTTTCATCCCATAGTTCTCTTTAGGGTCAAGGAAGGACATATACTAACCTCCTCCCGTGACCCAAAGCTCAGTATATAGCTTGCTATTGCCTGCGATATACTGTGAGTGCCGCAGCCAACGTTTTCGCTCACTTCCCAATCAATAGAGCCAACCTGAGACGGTTTCAATGTCACAGGTCGGCTCTAACTATGAGGATAGGTGTAAATCACTCACCCCATAGTTCTCCTTAAAGTACCTCAACAGTCACAAAGGCCTGTGCAGAGAAATTAGCTGCGGGAGACACTCTGCAGGCTCTTCCCATTACAGCAGGGGGCGGATACAAGACCAACCACCTTGCACACACAGAGAGAGAGAGAGAGAAGCAGCAATAACTGGTCTTCATTACAGTAAGCTTCTGCACAGATGCAAAAAGTTCTACACTGGATTACTGCACAGATCTGGAAAATACACAAAACACAACAAGACTGAAATATGAAGACACGTGCCTCTAGTATTTAGACAATATTTACTCAACCTGGAGTTGGCAGAAGAATCAAAGCAGATCAGTATGAAAGTATTTCCAAAATATTGGTCATGGGAGAGGTTTTGCCCATTCTATGTTGCATTGCTGGAGTGCCAGGACTCAGAACTAACATCTGAACATGCCACCTATAAGGACAAGCCTACCGTACCTAGTGTGCAATCTGGCCCAGCTTTCCCACATGGATAAAGGAAAGATGTGTAATTGATCACAGAGAGGGGCATTTATAAAGACTGGAGCCAACACAATCAGGAGCAGTTGTGCATGGTAACCAATCAGCTTTGATCTTTTGTTTTTAAAGCTTAACTGAAGAGAGAAGCTGGCTGGTTACTATGGACAACCGCTTCAAATGGTGTCTGCTCCAGTTTTGATTCCACCCAGCTGTACCATCTATGTGCCTGTGATGATCACTATCTCCAAGGGATGAAATAAAGGCCAAGTCGTCATCATGCTGGAAATCAGCAGGTAGATATCAGCCTGACCCATATACTGACCGGCTGATGGTGACAAGCCCGGCCCAGATCGGTCACATAGGGATACAGTGGATGGCCTCACCTTCTGGATGGAAGACTTGCCGCTGCGTCTCATCCCCATGAGCAGGATCCGGGGTTTGCTGTCTGAAGAGGTCGAGCTCTCGTCCATCTCTGACTCATCAGCCCCGTAGCCGAAGTCCTTGGGGAAGGAGTCGGCCACGCCATAGCTCAGTTGTTCCTCCCCGGGGTACTGTATAGACATGTCGCCGAATGGTCACTGGCACCGCCGGTGCGATTCTCCAGTCACCATAATCTGGCTGCCGCTGTGTCACGTGACGCCCCGGTAGCTCGGCGTCAGCCCGATGCCTCCAGGCCTGCACACTCGGCAGTACACCCGTTTCCTCTCTCGTGAGCGGCAATACAAACCGGTACAATATTTTTCGGCACTTTTTTTTTTTTTTTTTTCTCGTAGCTACCGAATCTTTCCTGCAGTACCAGCCCTGTTTGTGCGTAACACCTCCTCATTGGTGAGAAGGCTGCATGCTGCGGTTTTCTGATTGGTCAAGGAGCGAATTTGCCTAACACAAGCGCCTAGCAATGTAGGTTGTAGCAGATCATGTGGTGAGCAGTCACCTGACTGAGTAGAGAAGGGGGGGAGATTCGCATGTGACCTTTAACCTACAGTTCTGCCCTGTGTGATGGGGGAAGGTTTCCTGACTCTGCGGAAATGGACATAAACACTGCAATTAAAAGCTTATTAGTATTCAGCGCTTTACAAAAATAAAAAGGGAATGTACAATTCAATACAGGAGGGCCCTACTTACAATCTAAAGGGTTGGGTTTTACATAGAGAACATTCCTCTTTCATAAGAAGGTTGTAAATGTTAAAAGCTGCAAGAAAACTCTCTAGGAAGGAGATTGTTGAGTCAGAACTGCAGTGAGCACAAAGATGAACTTGTTTGCTGACATGTGAAATCAAGCTAGGCATTACCTATATTCATCCCACTAAAAAGACAATTCTAAAGAATGTAAAGAAAGTGGAACAGAAGTGTGAACAGGTATTCTTACTTGCTGGCAAGAGCCCCACATCCAGCCATGCCATTAACAAGGCAGGATGTCTTTCTCGGGTGTGGCATTAAGCTAAGCATAAACATTTAAATGCCCAAAAAAAACATTTTGATATATTGAGGCAAATTTTGAGTCACTCAAATATTCATGATTATGGAATATTTGATACAGATATCAGTGGCAGTACTGTGGAGCACTACCATAGATCTTATCCTGTCAACCTTTTAGCTTGTCATCCCAGTGCTACCGGCCCTTTAAAAGTAACAGGGAAAGGTCCCAATCATGTGACCACTATCACAATGATCACATGGTCAGGAGCCCATGCCAGACTCCCGATCGGAAACTGTAATCTGGAGCTGTTGGGAACAGCTCAGTCACTGTGCTGAGAGCATGCAGCAAAGTATCCTTCCAGCATAGAGCAGGGGATGGGCATTGTAGCCCACACAAATATAGGTGAGGCTGGCAAAAAGTGGTTAAAGCAACTGTGTCCTTAGGAAAAAGTCCAATTGAGTTTTCAGTTCAAATTTGTTGAATACATTCCAGGTGCATCACAAGAAAACATTTTTACGGCAGGTTCACACCATTTTCCGGACCAGATCTGCAGTTCCAGTGCATTTCAGACCAGACAAAATGAGACATGCAGTATTTTTATGGTCTGGCCTGGAACAGACTGCGTTGGTGTGAACAGAGGCCATAAATAACATAGTTGCAGAGCGGGACCCTTGCTCTCTGTGTGGAAGCAGTGGTCTCTTTGCAGAGGTCCAACACACCCACTAATAAGTCAGACCTATAGCTGTGCAATCTGCAAAGCTCATGCTCCCTAGTGTCTAGCTCTGACTTAGCAAGGGGCATGTTTGACCTCTTGTAGTGAGATAACTAGGTCCCACTCTGCAGCTGCTGGCAGGGGGCAGGCTTGTCTACTCACACAGTGGCTGCTTAAAGGTGGCCATACACTTTACAACCATCGCAAGACCTTAGTCGTGCGATGGTTGTAAAGTAATAAAAAAAAACGTACGATCTGCCCATCTTGGACAGGCAGATCGTACTCTCGATCATCGCAAGCCCGCCCCCGAGGGGCGGGCTTCCGATGACCGCAATGCTGAACGGGCAGTGTGCGCGTGCGCACACCGGCCCGTTCGGCATTGGTCTCCCGAGCACCGTTCAAACCAGCTGAAAATCGTACGATTTTCGGCTGGTTTTCTAGCGTGCTCCCTAGACAAAAGACGTGCGAGCGTACAGTAAAAACGGTCGCACGTCTTCCATACACTTTGCGATTATCGTACGATTGCGGGATTTCCCGCGATTATCGTGCGATAATCGCACAGTGTATGCGCACCTTTAGAAAGAAAACAAACTGCAAGATTGAACACCTTTTGTTTTAACACACCTGGAATTTATTCAGCAAAATGTAAGCAGAGTTCAGTTGGTCTTTAAACAAAGACTTACCTATCCCACTGCCTGCACCTCCAAACTTTGCTCTCTTGAAGCACTACAGCCACCGAAGAATCTTCAGCATTTGGCTCTTCCAGATGTATCAGATGCCTGGTGCCCTGCTGCATGCTATGGTTCCTTCCACCTGTCCTTTCATTACTACTATGTCTAATAGTGGCATGGGGCCAGCAAGAAGGAGCACAGAGAGGGTCTGGACGTCCTCCACTCTTGGAAGTGTCAGATCCTGAAGACACTTCATCAACAAGGAAACAAAGATTGGCGAGTGGCAGGACAGGTAAGTTTTAACCACTTGCCTTCCTCCGATTGTAATGCAACTAATGGACGGCAGCCTTCCCAGGGTGGGACAAGGTTTTAAAACATCATATATTTTTTTCTATGTGCTTGTGTGCACTACAGTACTGTGATTGCACTGTCGAATGTATAGAATAAACACATATAACATGCATTACCACTACGCAGTACAGTAAATTGGCCCTATTTCATTCATTTTGCATAGGGTAGGAAATGGTTGCAACCCCTGTCTGGTTTATTTTTCCATCTGTGTCCCATCTAACAGTTTCCCTTTCACGTCTTGTCCTAGACACAACAGAAGTAAGAGGAAATCTTTCCAAAGTGAGGGAAATCCCCTCGCAGTTGTGAACAGAGCAAGTGTCCCCATTTGAAGATTTCCCCATTCTGCCCGCTCTGGTGGCACTTTAAACATAACTATTCATCCCCCCTAAGTCAATACTTTGTAGAGCCACCTTTTGCAGCAATTACAGCTGCAAGTCTCTTGGGGGTACATTTCTATAAGCTTGGCACATCAAGCCACTGGGATTTTTGCCCATTCTTCAAGGCAAAACTGCTCTAGCTCCTATAAGTTGGATGGGTTTTGCTGGTGTACAGCAACCTTTAACCCCTTCATGACTGAGGCCCTTTTTTCAATTTTTGCACCCATGTTATATTCCACATTTTAGGCCTGAAAATGACGATTTAGCAGAATTCTTAAGGTCCCCACACACCTTACGATAATCGTACGATAATCGCGGGAAATCCCGCAATCGTACGATTATCGTAAGGTGTGTGGAAGCCATGCGACCTCTACTACTGTAAGGTCGCACGACTTTTAACTTACGGACATGTTCGAAAACCCACCGTACGATGTTCGGCGGGTTTGTGGCAAGTTCATACGATAAAAGCCGTACGGGCCGGTGTGCGCAAGCGCACACTGCCCGTTCGGCATTGCGGTCATCGGAAGCATGCCCCTCAGGGGGCGTGGCTTGCAATCATCGCAAGTACGATCTGCCTATGCAAGATGGGCAGATCATACATTTTTTTAAGTACCTTACAACCATCGCAAGACAAAAGTCTTTGCGATGGTTGTAAGGTGTGTGCCCAGCCTTAGGGTCAATGTCCTGCTTCTTACCAGTCTCAAATCTCTGGCAGACTGAAACAGGTTTTCCTCAAGAATTTCGATCATTCTTTTAATTCCAATCAGTATGCAAGTCTCTGCCGATGATCAGGGTCTGACTTTGAGCTGATTTGATGTTTATCACTTTTATTGAGAACTTTTGTATTTGATGCACGTTTTGGTTGCAACAAGGAATTTCTTAATAAGGCATAGTTTATTACAAATAATTTATTACATTTTTGCACGAAGTGAAATTTGGTATTTATCTATTTATTATTTCACTGGCTATCACTTTAGCATATTAATAACGGTTGCAAACACATATTTTTTTGATTACATGTTCTTTTGGTAACACTTAATTACGCTTTTGCTCGTTCACCTATTGGTGACCCCAAGCGCTGCACACCCATCTATATACATGATGAAAAACATCCCCACTGCATGATGCTGCCACCACCATGCTTCACTGTGGGCATAGTGTTCTCGGGGTGATGAGAGGTATTGGGTTTGCACCAGCCTATTCCTTGGAGGCCAAAAAGCTTAATTTTAGTCTCATGTGACCAGAGTACCTTCTTCCATATGTTTGGGGAGTCTCCCACATGCAAATGTGTTTGCCTATTTTTTCTGTAAGCAATGGCTTTTTGCTGGCCACTCTTCCATGAAGGTCAGCTCTGTGGTGTGTACCGGCTGTGATCCTATGGACAGATACTCCAATCTCCACTGTGGGGCTTTACAGCTTCCTCAGGATTACCTTTGGTCTCTGATTAATGTCATCCTTGCCTGAGTTTTGGTGGGCAGCCCCCTCATGGTAGGTTTGTTGTGGTGCCATATTCTTTCAACTTTTTAATAATGGATTTAATGGTGCTCCGTGGGATGTTCAAAGTTTGATATTTTTTAATAACCTAAGCCTGATCTGTATTTCTCCACAACTTTGTCTCTGATCTCTTTGGAGAGCTCCTTGGTCTTCATGGTGCCGCTTGTACACTTAACCTCTTGCCGTCCGCCCGTAGTAAAAAAACGGACGGACGGCACTGCAGCATCTGCGGGTTGCCGTCTCCACCACATGTGTGCAATCCAATTATGTAATTTCTGAAGATTAACTGGTTTCACCTTATGTGGGGGCTTTATAGCAAAAGGGGATGAATACTAGGGATGCACCGGTACCGATACTAGTATTGGTGTAGATACCAAGTAATTGGGCGAGTACTCGCCCAAATGCTCCAATAGTTACCCCTGATACCAGAACTTCCGGTCAGAGGGAGATTTTCTCTGACAGGCAGTGCCGCAAGGAGCCATCTTCCCAGCCAATCAGGAAGCCGGGTGGCAGGTAATGACTCGGCTCTAAATGGCCGGGAAGCCAGCTGTTTGGCCCGCTCGATGGCTTCCCTGCCAATCCGCATCGAGCCAACCAAACAGCATGGAGTCTGCTTCCCAGACAATAAAGAAGCCGTGTGGCGTGTCATTACCCACTACCCAGCTTCCTGATGGGAATCCGGCTCCATGCTAGTGGAAGTACCGGTATTGATAATGGATTATATCGAAAAATAAATATCGGTACTTGTACTCAATACTGGAAAACCGATATTGGTGCATTCCTAGTAAATACATATGCACGTACTTTTCCGGTTTCTATGTTGTTGTAATTTTTTCAAATAAGTTATTTTCTTGATTTCACTTCACCATTTTGGACCTTTCTGTGTATGCCCATTACATGTAATCCAAATAAAAGTTCATTTTAATTCCAGGTGGTAATGCAACAAAATAGGAAAAATGGGGTGAATACTTTTGCAAACCACTGTATTTGACCACTAAGGGGTCAGGATCTACCTGCACAGTGAAATGTGTGTTATGTCTCTTAAAACTGCAGCCAGGTTTTTGTACAACCCCAGGTTATTTATGTACATCACTGCTGTGCATTGATAAGGTGCAGAGAATATCTTCCAAGCCAAAAAGGCTCACAGAAAGGGTCTACTCTGGGACAACATCTTTACAAAAGCCACAACATTAAAATATGTTGCAGAAGGCAAATCTCCCTGTCCAGGGAGAAGAAAGAGTTTTCCCACTTGGACAGTATATCCTTCTGTGTGTACCTGGTGTGGAGCAAAGGGGACAACACCATAAGACTCAGTACCTCCATGCAGAGACATTCTGCACTGGAGTAAGGTTAAAACCCATGTCAGTGTATTTTCTGCTATCCATGTCCTGTGGAGAGATTTCCCTTACTTCCTCCCTCCAGAAACAACAGGAAGGAAGAATAGTCTTCTCAGACAGTTGTTAGTTTGAAATAGTTAATACTGGGCCAAATCCATGTGGTGATTATGTAATTAGAAAAAACCCGAAATGCATCTGCTATAAAGGAAACCTCTATTCATATAACTGCAGCGGTGGTAAATGCTGCCCTCCTAACACTATTAGGTTGCCTGGATGCCTCTGGGTTTATCACTCATTACAAAGTTAGTGTAAAGTCAGAGCTGCTGATGTACACATTTGAGTTGCCATGTGCATCGGCAGGCAGACTTTCACAGTCACCAACTAGTGCTAAATGCTTTTATAGATTAATAGTGGGCAGCTACTAGTTGACTATTGTGGTATTCAGCTCTGAGGGTGTACTGTTATCAGTGTTCGTCACCAAGGTTGTTTGATCTAACCACCAACTGAACTTTGCCTTTCCTGACTTGCTACATTCTCAAATCTGACCTCTATCTGTTTTGACCATCCTAACCCAGCCTGTTTGCACAGTAGGACTGTTTGAGCTCAATGATCTTACACAAATTCTGGGGCACCCAATAATAGCTGAGGCACACAAAACTCTGCAGCAGTGGTTACAGAGCTTAAACTGGGGTTAGACAATTACAGTAACATACAGATTTTACTTTCCTGCTCCAAAAAAAACAAACTAAAATCCGGTTGCCATTGCTATAAGCATATATACAGTGCATTCAAAAAGTATCCAGACTCCTTTCACTGTTTCAATGTTGTTATGTTGCAGCCTGATACAGTTGCTTAAATTGTTTATTTTTTCTCATTAATCTACACTCAGTACACTATAACAGTGAAAACAGAATTTTAGAAAGATCTGCAAATTTATTAAAAACTAAACACTGAAATATGACATTAGCATAAGCAGGGCCGGCCTTAGGTCTTTAGGCGCCCTGTGCGAGAAAGCTAAAGTATTCAGACCTTTTGCACTTGAAATTTAGCTCAGGTGCCTCCCATTTCTCTTGATCATTGCTGAGATGTTTCTCAGATTGGAGTCCGCCTGTGGTAAATTACGATGATTGGACATGATTTGGAAAGGCACGCACCTCTATATAGAAGTCCTCACAGCTGACAATGCATACTGTATCAGAGCAAAAGCCAGGAGGTCAAAGGAACTGCCTGCAGAGCTCAGAGACAACATTATAGCAAGGCACAAATCTGGGGAAGGCTACACAAAAATTTCTGCTGCACTGAAGGTTCCCAAGAGCACAGTGGCCTCCATAATTCTCAAATGGAAGAAGTTTGGCACAACCAGGACTCTTCCAAGAGCTGGTCACCCGGCCAAACTGAGCAATCAGGGGAGAAGGGCCTTAGTAAGAGAGGTGACCCGATGGTCACTCTGATCTCCAGAGATCCTGGGACAAAGTTCCAGAAGGACAATGTAAGCAACATGCCCGTTCCGCACATGTGCCAAGTCCCGCTAGGAGGATAAACAGGCGCATGCGCACAGCAAGTCATTTCCACGGAGAAACAACACCCAAGACGAGATGTCAGCACCCTGGAAGGAGGTTACGCTTTAATGAATCAGTCCAATTATAACCTAGAAAGCTATCGCAAACGCTATCTTTACATATACACTATCAGCTGCCTATATAAAACACAACCGTGCGAAACAATAATAAGAAGTATTTTTATTCCGACTCTGTGTCAGCGTGTGTTATCTCTTCACTGATAGTGTGCACACTTTGTACTGAATTTGGCCCAGGGACAGATATATGTCGGATTCTTGATGTCCGAGTCCTAAACAGCGCCGTATAACGCACCGGAAGTGACACGCATACAGCGCGAGTCACAAAAACGCACCAAAGGCGCACAGGAAGTGACGTACTTGATTGGCCCACTTCCCTATATAAACCGGACCTGCATGTCACTTAGTTGCTGGATTGTCTTCTCAGCTCCTGTGTGTGTGTATTTGTATTCTGTTTCCTGCCTTGAATACCGTTTGCCTGGATTTTGACCTGTTACTGCCTCAACCAACTTCCTTGATTGCTGCCTGCCTTTTTGACATTGGACTGTTTATTGGATTCTACTTCTGCCTTAACCCTCGGTACTGCTTCTGACCTCGGCTTACCTTGACTTTGATTTCTGGATTACCCTTCTAATTGCACGGTTCCATAACCACTGGCACTCGTCTGTGTCTGCCTGGCCTCTGTTACCATCATCAAAGGCCACAAGACACGAGGTGCAAGGGAAGCCTCCTCACCCATCCAGTCTCCCAGACCAGGTACGTGGTAAGACCACCATCACTGCAGCCCTCCACCGATCTGGCCTATATGGCAGAGTGCCTAGAGTAGACAGAAGCCTCTCCGCAGTGCGAAACACATGAATGCCCGATTGGAGTTCACAAAAAAAAAACACCTAAAAAGGACTGACTGTGAGGAACCAGATTTTATGGTCTGATGAAACCAAGTTTGGACTGTATGGCCTCAATCCTAAAGGACATGTTTGGAGGAAACCAGACACCCCTCATCATCTTCCCAATACCCTACCAACAGTGAAGCATGGTGGTGGCAGCATCTTGCTGTGGGGGTGTTTTTCAGCAGCAAGGGACTCAAAAGACTGGTCAAGGTTGAGAAAAAAGCTTAGCTACTCTGTGAATTTCCTAGAGTAGCCCAGCCAGAGCCCTGACTTCAAGTCCTATTGCACATCTCTGTAGAGACCTGAAACACTGTCCACCGACAATCCCCTTCCAACTTGACTGAGCTTGAGAGGATTTGCAAAAGAACAAATGGCAGAAAATCCCCCAATCCAGTTGCGTCATACCCAAAAAGATTCAAGGCTGTAATTGCTGCAATAGGTGCTTCAACAAAGTACCGGGTAAAGTGTCTGAATACATGTGATATTTCAGTTTTTTCTTTTTTATAAATTCACGGACATTTCTAAAATTCTGCTTTCACTTTGTCATTATGGGGTACTGAGTGTAAATTGAGAAAAAAAAAGAATGTAAACAACTGTAGTATCAGCTGCAACATGACAAGATTGAGAAAAGTGAAGGGGGTCTGAATACTTTCTGAATGCACTGTACATTTCGATTTCAGAAAGACGACATGCATTTAACTGATCCATCTAGCTTTCAATGGCTGTGACAATGATAATTAATGTACACAACTTTACAGTTTTAAATAGAAATAACTCCAGGAAATGCTATCTATCAGCATTAAATTGACCCCTGCAGGGCAAAGTAACATGTTCTCTTTATAGCTTCCTTTGTTTACTGCCAATACTACTTACCATCTTTTTGCTCTCCTGCCACCCCAAGTAGTCCTCTGTAAGCTCTGTATCAGAGACAACACAGTGTTGAGGATCTTACCACCCTGCACCCCAACAGGCTGGAGAATTCCCGCAAGATGAGCGGAAGTGTAGGTGGCAATACAATCTCCCCATACCCAAAAATCCTGAGTTTTTTTCCAATCGTGAGTATTTCTCCGCAGTAAATAGGAAGACAGAGTGTGGTGAAGACATTAGCAGTGGAGGTGGGTGTAGAGAGAATTGTTACAAAGTGCATAGGTTTACCTTAAAGTGACACAAATAGCAACCGCTCACAGACAAGCTTTCGGTACAAAAACTGCATCACATAAAACAGTTTTACTTTTATGACTGTTTAATCCCACCCAGTAATATCTATAGTACATGATTATGTCATGTATGATAAAGCAATCTCACCAAATCCTATACATTCATCTTCAACAACAGTGACCAAGCATTTTTACAGGATACAGGAAATGTCAAACTATGTTTTTTTTCACAAGTTGTTTACTTAAGGTAATAAACCAAAAAAAAAACGAAGATAAGTGTTCCCATGTCCCCCAAAACAGAATAATTCCTAGCTGTATATATTATTTACAGTTCCAGTGCAGCATTTAAATAAGGGAATTCAAGATAAGCTCATTCAGCTCGTTTTTCATCAGATGGAGGTTCGTGTTGGGAAAGCTGCAAAAGGTAGCACAGAAAGAAAAAAGTTAGATCTGTTTTTTTATTATGCATCAGCAATGATTAAACACCAAGCTAAAAGTAAAAGGCAGGGTGCAGCTTTACTATGAGACACATGAAGCAGCAGCAAGAGCAAACAAACAATCGCAAAAGCAGCCTATCACTTACAGGTCTAGGCTAGACAAGTGATCTTTAGTAGTAAGATTAACCCTCATTCTGCACACGCATTAGACTGTGGTTGGTTACTTTACTTCTTGACTAGGAAAATAGGCGATAGGCCAAGGCATACACTGTCAAGTGCTCAAGCATGGCTGTTCCTCTTTACTACCTACAGATACTAAACCATGCAAGTGACCCAGACTGTTACCAATACTTACTAAATTGGGTTTTAATAGGGCGTACATTTATGTTCATCTATACAAGAATCCACATTGCCATGAAATCATAAGGGGGGGGTTTGGGAAATCACATACATTTCCTTTCTTTACCATAGCTGATCAAGGGAGAACTACTTGGTGCACACTCCCATGGTTTCTCATTTCCTGGTAGTAGAGAACATGCACACTTTCTGCCCCAACCATAATACAGCACATGGGGCAGCTGGCCCAGGTCATGTTAGGGGTATACATTTGATTATACAAACAGCAACTATAAGAAAACTGCTTTTTGCATATTTAAGCGGATCTTGCACTGAAGTAGCAAGGTCCGCCAATTTACTAAAACACTGAACTGAATGGCAAAAAGAGGGGCAGGGGGGAAAATGTAGCTACATTTACTTACTTTTCCCGTTTCTGTCAATGGCACCTAAGCAAGGGAGACATACCTATCCATCCAGCAAAACCATAAAGAAATCTGAGTAGCTCAAATCTATTGTGGTCCTTCACTATGCTGGAGCGTCAGAAGGATGGTGACGTTATCCTCTGCAGTATGAAAGCTGGGGGAATGGTAAGTATATTAAATGACCCATCCCCCGTGCCAGTGGTCCAAGATCCTAGAGTCATTACTTGCCATACATTATATTTGGCATGAGGACACCAAGGTAAATTCCATTGCTGGAGCAGAGGAGGAGACAGGCTGGAGGGAGTTTTCTAACAGCCAGCCGGCTGCGAGGTTAAGGCGAGTATAACTTTGTTATTTTCGCTCCTAGATGAAAACGAGCAGTTAACCCTTTACAGTGCAGAAGTAGCCCCACTGCAAGGGTTCAGATTATTTTGCCCGGGGTTCTTCTTTAAGTGGGATCCATAAACGCAAATACTTTGTGCTGAGAGTTTATGTTGGCAGCAATTTGAAACAGCTACTTATTTAGCAATTTGTCTTCCCACAAACAGTCCTTCACTCGTTAACACCATCTCCATTGCTCTATTCAGATCAATCTCAAAACAAGGGTACATAGAAAACAACTGATTCTGAGTACCCTGTTCACAATACAATGCTGCGTTGAGGTGGGTTGCAGTTCTTTGTGTAAAATACAGACATGATCACATCACCACATGTCACATCACCGCAGTGCGTTGCATTAATTTGCAGTGCATGGACTTGCATTAGGTGCCATTTTGTTATACTTTATTAAATGCTATAAAACAAGAGAAAGAAAACAAAAAAGAACTAATACCACAGGACAGTCATTTTGCTTCTCAGCATATCAGTTTTTATAACAGATAAAAAAAGATCAGCCATGGGAGAAATTATTCCAAAAGTAACACAAACCTTTGCTTTCAGTTCTTTATTTTCCTCTAGAACAGCATCATACTTTTGTTTCAGTTCTGCGACCTCCAAACGCAAAGCTTCCACATCTGGCGTTTCTGGGCCTGCAGCACCTAAGTGCTGTTTTAAAAAGCTGATTGTACAGGTCAGGAAGCACAACAAATCACTAGTCTTGTGACAGTAACATTTCTTCATTATTTTTAGAAGAGCTCAGAGAACACTAGGATAAAATTGAAAAAGCGCTAATGTGTGAACTGAGCCTAAGGCATTTGTTTTCTCATCGAAACATGCCTGAACGCATGTAAACGCACCAGAATGGGCTTAAATGAAAGTGATAATGTATGTAGAGCTGCAGCTAACGATTATTTTCAAAATCGGTTAGCCGATTATTAAGTTCGATTAATCGGTTAATCGGATAAACAATAAAATAAAGTTTAAAAAATGGCTCCAGTGATAGGACTACTAGTTTGTATTGAGGTTGTAGTCCATCACAGGAGCAAGCTTGGAGCGGTGGAAGTAAAAAAGAAAAAAAGATAGTGTGGTGTGATATATAGTGAAATGAAAAGTGTAAAACTATACAGCAATGAATGCAGAATGGCATCGGCTATAGAGGACTACAACAAATCCCAGCAATAGTACATTATAAAGTGGTACAATGCTAAATACCACCAGCTATAGAGGACTCCAAAACCCACGTGCTAATCAAGATGATAGAGTAAAAAAAAAAAAAAGAAGGAAAAGCCATGCGACGCATTAAAAATGCATCAAAAACATGTAACAAACTCATATAAGCGCACGCAAACAGAAACACATACTGAGCGCAGGGATTATGGTATGAACAAGCCCTAAAGGGGAAGTATGAGACTAAAACATACAGCTTATGGCAAGTGTGAGACACTGCAAATGTCATACAGAGAACAGATTGATCACGTAACCTCTGATCTCTCAACTCATGGTCTCCTCCCTGCAAGGTCCAGTGACATCACCCAGTCACCGCTCCCAGCAGGGATTGCCCTCTCTCCAGCGCTCATTGGAGGGACAGACACGGGAGGGGGCAGACACAGCTGGCTCTGGATCTAGAGAGCCAGAGAAAGCTGGCAGGCAGCTTTTAAAATGGCATTGACATGAATACCCACTGTCCCAGTGCAGTCTGAAAACACCATCTGGTATTCAAACGGTAAGTATCTCTAGCCATTGTTTTCTGAGGTTTAGAAACCCTGTTTTGTTTTGCCACTTTTCATCCAAAAACTATATTAAAAAAAAAAAAAGAAGTTTTGACCTAGATCTAAATTTTAAAGCAATCCTACATTAAAAGAAATATGGGGGCGGCCACGTCTGACCTTGTTGTCCTACTGTTTGTTACTTTAATCTACTCCAGGATATCCAGAATAAGCAAATATTGTTTAAATGTAAGAGGCATGTGTATTCTTAGTTGAATCGTGACATCCTTTGTGTATTACTTCCAGAATGAAACTTTGCCTCAGTACAGGAGCTTCCTGTAATAAAGACCAGTCACTGCTGCTCTTTTTCCTTGTGCAGGGTGACTGGTCCTGTGTCTACTCCCCTCCTGTAAACCCCCCCCAAAGCTCTGCTCGGGCTATGTAGAGCACAGTGATGTTCTCCCTGCTACTATTATAAGGTAATAACTGAGTTTGTAAAAGGTATTTAGTGCACAGTGTGGATATCTTTTGTGGCTATTAAGGAATATGTTTAAATGAAAACTTGTGTGTCAAGAGTTCAGCTTTAAGTCATTGAGCTGGAACAAATATGCAGCAACCAAGGTCAGACTGAAACCAGAACTCCTGTTCTGCATACTTGCTGCAAGTTAGTGACAGAGAATACTAAAGACAATGGTTCAGCATGACAACCATTTTTTTTTAGAATGTAGTAATGGCGACCTCCATCTTTCCTCGGTACATACTTCCTTTAAAACTGTGCCTTGTAAACCTCATCCTAAGCTGAAAAATACTTCACAATCATAGCTTGGGTTCAGTGGAGATATGGTTTAGAAAGCAAGGTAGAAAAGCACACTCCAAAAAGATAAGATGTTCCCTCTATGACCCCATGCTAAGCTGATGTTTCAGCAATCTTGTCTTCAATCAAAAAGGCATCTTTAAAGAGAAAACATCTTATGCCTTTTTGTTTTGCTAAAGGAACCTTACAATTATATTTCCAAGAGCCCATCAATAGCCTTCTACACTTTTCTGGGGAAGGATGATCAAATCTTCATCAGTGAGACACTTCTCTCACAGAAACTACAAATATACTAGCGTTCTAATATAAACCTCTTGCGGTAGAACCGTGTCAAATGAAAACATCCACCTAAATCTAACATGACCGTTTGGGGCCCAGAGCTTGGAGGCTTTGTAGAGCTGGTGGGATAAAGCCTCCATTCCAAGGTCCACATTTTACCTGGTAGCCAGATCTCATTATTAGTCTCAGCTGTCCACAGACTTTTATATATATGCGAGCTGACTGATGCTCAGGGCATGCTCTCTGCTGTGGGATCCTGATGTTAGGTAACAGGCTGACAGAACACTAAACAAGTGCTGCATGTTTGTTTTGGGAAACCCATTAGGGGCACCTCTTTAGCCAGGAACAGAAATAAATGCAGTTACTGGCTTAGACAAGCAGATGTTTTGTATGTTTTATGCATTAGAATTGCTATACAAAGGCCTCCCGCATTGAACTGTATTTGTTTGCTGAATAAAAGTACAGGACAAATCTGCTGGGTGCCTGTGTCTCATCCATGGTTTACCACTGCCACTACCAGTTGAGCCCGTCTCAACTGAACATATATATTTTACACTATTTTACACTTTATCAAAAAACATCTTAAATCCAATAAAGAGATCCTGTCAGTTGTTTGAATAATCTAAGACATAAGCAGACTATAAAAGTAGAAGTTTGATACTTACCTAATGAGTCAAATCTTCCTTTCCTTAAGAGATACTAACATTACTACTAACCAACACAAGGGAGGAAGCATCTATAAAACCAGATCATTCTGAAACCTGGATTCTATTCAAAACATTGTTAGTTAACTCAGAAGGGGTGAATACTGTAACTTCCACACTGGTCAAAAATATGCAAACATTAAGCAGTAATTACGGTCATCCTCCAACATCTGCAAGATTCAAGAGAGCTGAAGATCTATAACGGCACATTTTTCATTCTTAATTTACCAAGTTTAGCATTACCCAAAATTATGAAAGCGGACGCGCAACGGACATAAACAGGAAGGCATGTTTAGATTGCATGTCACCCAAATTACAAACAGGGTTATTCACAGAAGGGTGAAGAGTTTGGAGAAGGCAGGAGAAGTGAACAATCTAGGACAACATAACTGATTTGGAAAAATTCTCCAATTCATCTTACTTCCAGTTCAGCTATGTTGTCCTAGATTGTTCACTTCTCCTGCCTTCTCCAAACTCTTCACCCTTTTGTGAATAACCCTGATAGAATGCCAGGAAAAGTGCACTTTTCATGTTACATAAATAAAACTTTTTTTTATAAATGACCATAAGACTTAGAAAGGATACTCTAGTGCATTGTTTGGCTTTTCTGGTTCTTCATACAGCTCTACCAATACTGCAAAAAGACAAAAAAAACAACAAAAACAAAGAAATCTCATTTAAAAGCATAGAGATTGTCAAAACAGATTTTTATATATACTGGCAACTCCAAGCCAAATTAGCAGGCCCAAATGGGAGGGTTAGGGGATGCAGTGCAAAGTAACAGGTTTGCTCTAATTTCCTGGTCTACAGCAACATATTTTCTTCACCTCCCCCCATCACTCCTTTCGTTGGGAAGAAGTCACAAAGCATGTGATTCAGTGAATATGACAGTGATGGGTAATCAGTACACACCATTGCTTTCACATGGGGAGAAATCATAGCCCTGTGAAAGCTATGGGGAAAAGAATAGATTTAGCAAGGTACTTGCTTACCTTCAGCAAATGCGCTCCCCAATTAATTTTGCTGTCCATTATTCCACTATTGTTTCACCCCCATACAGTGACGGTTTGCCTATAGAGAAATGGCTCCTGCTAATGTTTCCTCCTATGAGTGGTTTCCTGAAGGACAGCGGTGACATGCTTACAGCATACTTCCTTCTGTGGCCGTATGTGATCTGCAAAGCACCTGCCCAAAGCCACTGACTGGCCCACACATCAGTGTATCCTGTTGGGATCATGGGAAATGTAGCCCTTGGTAAACAGGTCGGATGTGACTTGTGGTGCCTGCAGAGATTCTTCCCCCCCTCCCCAACAGTACCCAGTGCATTTTATAATAAAGAAAAGCCTTTATTCATTACAACATAAGGCATTAACTTTACATTTAGGCGTTTTTACTGTGCAAGGGGAAAGTGAGCAAGGAGTCAGGTCAGGATTTCAAAGTTCAGCTTTAAGTGTTTTGTTGCTCCTGCCAGCCAAACAAAGTGGTGGGAAAGTGAAGGAAACTTATGTAGTGTTTTGGAGGATTGAAGTGATCCTCTTGCTTTGCCCAAGCACTTGTTTAGATTCCCAATGAGAGTAGCTTCCAGGAACTTCTCTCTCATCTGTCATCCCTCCAAGCCTGCAAGGATATCGATGACATCCATGATGCTTTCCTTTTTATAGGATAGCCAATGTATCACTAATAAAAGGGTTAAATGTATGAAAGGTTGGATGGTCTACCCAACAGCCTGTATGAGTCTGTATGTTAAGTCAACCCAACCTTTATCATGTGGCTTATGCTATGAAGAATTGTATAACATGTATTATGCTCACCTTATACAGTATTACTTACTGGCCAAAGCCTATTTGCAACATGTGACCCTATTAGGGAGAGTCTCCCTTGCTTTTTATTACTGTCTGTGCCTTCCTGACCAGGTAAGGAGGCATGCACCCACCGGCCCCCCTTATTTTCTTGTACTGGTGTCAGAGACAGGAAATTAGGGAAAATCTATTGAATGGGGGCACTGACAGAAAATCAAGCTATATGTGTACACGGGGTCTAAAGAAATTGTGATTCTCCCGAATCTGTACATTTATTTCCATGCAGAACAAACTGTTGTAAACGGCTCACTTTTAGTAAGCGTGTCAAGCACTCCTGCCTTCTCCAAGTATCTTCTAAATTGTTCCCTTTTGGAATCAGCAGCCTAAAAATAAGAGTATTTAAAAAAAAAAAACAAAAAAAAAAACAGAAAATCAATAATAAGCATCTTTGTTTATTAAATAAATCTGTAGCTGTCACCAACACATAGAACAAAATAATAAATGTGTTGCTAATACATACAATGACACAGCAGTAAGGGAGATCTGATCACTTGAGCCTACACACAATACAATGAGGAAGATTTATTTAAAAAAAAAAAAAAAAAAAATCAGGCTGCCTCTCATTTAGCAAAGTTTGTGCACCTGCAATCCATGTGCTTTCACCTGTGTATTTTATGTACGTGCCACATTGTTAAAAAAGGTAATGAGGGGAATTGATCAAAACTGGAGCAGACAAAATCTGGAGCAGCTGTGTATGGCAACCAATCAGCTTCTCTCATCTTCACTGAACAAACTGAAGAGACAAGCTGATTGGTTGCCATAGGCAACCGCTCCAGATTTTGTCTGCTCCAGTTCTGATAAATTCCCCTCAACCTATGGGGAAATGGTCTAGGAGCTAAAAATAAAGATACAGGTGAAACTCGAATAATTACAATATCGTGCAAAAGTAATGGCAGTAATTGCTGCAAAAGGGGCCCTAACCAAGTACTGAGTACATATGCATGCTTGTACTTTTCAGAGGTCCGATATTGTTCTATGTACAATCCTTGTTTTATTGATTGCATGTAATCTACTTTTTTGAGGTTGTGGATTTGGGGTTCTTGGGGTTTTCATGAGCTGTAAGCCATAATCATCACAATTATGACAAATCACGGCTTGAACTATCTTGCTTTGCATGTAATGAGTCTATCTCATATATTAGTTTCACCTTTTAAGTTGCATTAGTGAAATAAATGAACTTTGCACGATATTCTAATTATTCGAGTTTCACCTGTATACTCACCTGATCCTCGATCCTGCAGCAGTGACCATTCACCTATCTCCCCCTCTGCTACCTTGGCATCGTCATGTCCAATGGACTTGTATTACATGTGAGGATGTCACGGATACTTAGACCGCTGCAGCCCGGGGAAGAAGAGGTTGCGGTGACCGGTCTAGCAGCTGGGTGGGACCGAAGATCAGGTGAGTATATCTGCTTTAGTTTTGTCCCTTGACCAAAACAAGCGTGTATGTTCTGGTCTCTGCAGGGAGTGATCAGCAGTTTATGATCACTAAACTCTCGGTATAGAGAGCTGGCATGTCCTACACCGACTCTAAGTAGTGGGAAGAGTACATTTTACTCCCCCAATACTTTTCTTTTAGGGCTCATGCACACAGACGTATTGAAGAGCAAACACGGTCATACTTGTCATGCAGTGTAAAATACGCCTGTATTTACAGCACACAGGTGCCGCATCTGCTGTGCGTTTTCTGTCCACACCCGACTACAGGGTTTTCTGTCCATACATTGCTATGGACAGAAAAGCGCAGCAGCCGCTACATATTGTTCTCTGGATGAAAGCACACCTGGATTTGCTCTGCAATACGTCTGTGTGTATGAGCCCCTTTAGTATTGTACAAAGAGGGGGATTTATCAGAACTAAAAGCACACATAATCTGGAGCAGGTGCCCATAGTAACCAATCAGCTCCTTTCATTTTCAAAGCTTAACTGAACAAACTGAAGAGAGAAGCTGATTGGTTACTATGGGCATCTGCTCCAGTTTTGATACATGCCCCGCCCCTCCCCCCTAATGAGGTAAAGATACCAATTCTGTCAGTTTAAGTTTCTATTTCTGTGACCCCCCCTCACTTTTTGAGACTATGGTCATTTATCAGGAGCAAGGAATGAATCTTGTGAAAGTTCCATGTCATTCTAGTCTCAGGGGTGGGCAAACCCCAGCCCTACCAGGGGTGGGCAAACAAATCCCATGAGGCATTGCAAGACTCGGACAGCCAGAGCCAGATGCATTATGTGATTTGTAGTTTCACTACAGCTGGAAGGCCAGAGTTTGGCCTCCCATGTTCTAGTCAGAGCTTACACAAGACCCTTCCCCCCACATCCATCCATGTGACAGTGCAGGTGTAGCGGTGAGTCACCTGCTCCTCCATACCTGCAAGTACCAGCCATTTCTTCACTGCTGCCAGCTAGGTTGGCATTAAAGAGAACCTGTTGCTTTGCCCTAATCAGCCTAAGACATGCTGCTATGTACAGGTGTTCATAAAACTAGGACTTCCATGGTAAAACCCTACAGGCCTGCTTTGGTGCTGTGAGAATCATGGTCACTTACAGCACGCCCGTGTATTACTTGTCCTCACACCCACATAGAAGTTTCAGAAGCCTCTATTCAAGTGAGCAGCACTGCTATTACTTTTCTATTACTATACAGCACAAAAATGAGAAGTAGAACAGAACATACACGACCGTATCAGGTATAGCACAGCTCACCTTGTAGCTCGCCATTCTCTTCCTGGCTACCTCAGCGGCTTCTGGTTTGTTACCCAACAATCTCCCCAGTAACGCAAATCCACACACCGCACATGCGCAGTAGCCACACCGTGGACGCCGAGCAAGCGCAGTGCTCACACCTGCACGATGGCCCGGGATCAAATTCTGCGCATGCGCGGAACGTCACTGTAGCTGTATTGCCAGCAAAGTACGTTGTTTGGAGTGTGCTTGCGGCGTGTGCGTGTGCTGGTATTTCTGTGTGTATACGTCTCTGTGTGATTTAATGCCATGGTCAGCTCTTGCAACTTGGGGTGCATTAGGTCTTATAAGGAAAAGGATGAATAGCAGTGGAATAAAATGCTATTCAGAAATCACTTTTTATTAGAGCCCTTTATTTAGGACCAATTCACACTTTGCTGTTCTTGCATGTTGCAATAATGCACATTGTGTCACGTGTTAACGTGCATTGCATTAAGCGATGCACAAGAATGGAAAGATAGCATGCAGTATTTTGTCCATTGCACATGTATTAGAGCTTCGTTGCCTTTACATCGTAATGTGCTGATGCACTAATTGCGCACGGCAAGCTTTACCTCAATGCAAAAGTGTGACTTGGCCCCTAAGCAGGGCTGGCCTTAGAGGTGTGCGAGCTGTGCGGCCGCACAGGGCGCCATGACAACAAAGGCGCCAGGTGGCCGACACAGCTCATCCTCGGGCAGCTTCTCTCCTCCTCACCGCTGGCCATCCGACATGACAGCGCTCCCTCCTCAGCCCAAACCCCTCCCCAGGAGGGAGCGCTGCCTGCTGTCAGTATGGCCGAGCGGTGAGGGGGTGAGAAGCCGCGCCAGCAGCTTTCAGGATGGCCGAGCGGGAAGGAGATCGGAGCTGTTTTCATCCTGTCCGTTTCAGGATGACAGCGGCTCTGTGCGTGGCAGAGCAGGGTATCGGTAAATATCAATGATATTTACCGGTCCTCCGTGTGAGAAGGACAAACACTAGAGTGATCGTCTGATCACTCCAGTCCAGTGTTTGTAAATAACTGGGGACATATACGGTAGGACTATGTGTCCCTAGTTATGAATGAACAGCACTGTGATTTACATCGCGTCCTGTTCATTCAAGATTTCCACAATGGGGAGAAGCACTCACTACAGAGGCTCCTCCCCCATTCAGAAACTATTGATAGTAAATATTTTACTATAATCAGTGTCTGAATGAATGGGAAGCCTCTGTACTAAGTGCTTTTCATTCATTGACCTGAATACATGTTACGTACCGTATATTCAGACATATAGTAATTCATTCATTTACATGTAGTCTGGGTTTTGTGTTCTGTTTTCTATTGTTACTTTTTATAGACACCCTGACACTTTGTTTTTATAGACTCTATTTTAGTTTGACATTTATTGTTTACCTTCGGTTGTTTTATTTGATAATACTAATATTGTGCCTACAAGTTTAATACCTTTGAATAAAAGTTTTACTTTTATCATACTTTTTAATATATTTTTGTTTGCGGCTTAACAAAATAGGAGTCTTTAAATGGTGCGGATATTGGGGGAAATGGGTGTGGTTACTGGGGGTGTGGCCACTAAAGGGTGTGGCCACTGAGGGGCGCTGTAAAGCTTTCTCGCACAGGGCACCTAAGGCCGGCCCTGACCCTAAGTAGGATTAGAATTACAATTGTAATAGATTAGGGGCCATTTATTTGACCTAATCGTTGATGCAGTGAAATAGATGATCAATGTCGAGCGCAGTGACGAAAATATTCCAAAGAGCATGTTGGAAAATGTTTCTAACAGTGAATGTGGTTTTCATTCGAAAAACTCCATTCATTCCAAAACCAAATGTTGTATAAAAACAAAAGTCAAACGACAATCGCCTAGCTGATGGTACTATTGAACGTTCCAACGGGATTGTTCATACGAATGTTTGTGTGTTCCTGTATACCCAACTTTAGGGTCTGTACTAGCTGATTGTCCAAGTGTGCTCACATTTCCATGCTATGGCATCATTTCACAAAGCCACATGAGTTAATTTTTATGTGTTTATGATTTTTGTTTCATCTATTTGCCCTCATTCACACGACTAACAGCCGGCCCATACAGATCCGTGCTGCGTGCACGACCGTATTGGGCCGCACCCGGGAAGGACAGGTGCTGCATGTGATTTGTACGCAGCAGCCTGTTCTTCTCTATGGGAGTACCCCGCCGTACGTTCACCCGAACTGCGGTCCATGGGGGTGCAGGTGTCCCTGTTCGGATGCAGACAGGATCCATCCACAGCCGCGTACTCCCATACAGAAGAACACCTGTCCTTCCTGGGAGCGGCCCTATACGGTCGTGCACTGAACTGTATGGGCTGGCTGTTAGGCTTGTGAATGAGGACTTCGGAAATAAAATGTTCACTGCATAAATACTGCATTGGTGTAGAATTTTTACACATGGAATTAAAATGTATCCATTAACCCTTTTGCTACCAGAGCCTTTTTCTCCACACGTTAAAATGCACACTTTAGGCCTGATGATTACTTAACCCCCCCCCCCGAATTATATATTTCCTAAATCCCAACATGTGTCATGCAATCATTGTTTTCGTACGGGTATTTGTGTTAGTATGTCTGTGCACGCTTGGTGCGGGATTTGAAGAAAAAAAATGACTTGTGTTTTTACATTTATTTTATTTAACTTTGAGAAGCAGTGAAATAAAAGGCTGTGTGGAGACTTGTTTTGGATTTATTTTATGTAACTTTATTTTGTAAAACTTTTGTATTACTTTATTGCTATTACATAGGGATAGCTATAAAGCACTTTAGTGGTAACTAAGTGCCACCTTTGCACTTCAATAAAGCTGGTCAAGCACAGATTGTGCTTAATCAGCTTCTTCCCTGGCCTCAGAAAAAAGAAGTGACCAAATCATTGTCGCTTCCGGGTTCACACAGCAGGGAGGAGATCGCAGTACGGGTGTTTATTGCTCTCCGTCCCCTCTCTCTAACACGTGCTTTGCCAGTCCCAGGCCCACAAGAGGGGCAGCAGAACCTGGGAAACATGGTGGGGAGGGAGGGGGGGGGGGGGACAGCCGGGAGTCTGCTTACGTGGCCCCGCTGCTGCCGACGTATAGCATATTTCCCTTCAAATAGTCACAACAGTAAGTGAGAGGAAATGCCACCAAAGTGAGGAAAATCCATAGGGATCACCATTATCACCAGCACTAGTGACCCCATTGGAAGATTTCCCACCTATTTCTGTTCTGATGACAACCCAAAATATGGAATTTTCTTTCAATCACCAGGACCTAATTGGTACACAGACAGAAGTAAAAAAAAAACCTGACAGGTGTTCTAATCTCTCTCCACTCTATCCAAATCTTGAAAAAAAAAAATTGCCTGCAGTTACACTTTAACATTCAATGCTTCTAGATCTTTAACCCTTTGTTAGGACAGACAGTGTTCCAATCTAGTTTCCAGCTGATAGTGAGCACAGTACAAACAGGGCTAATTATGATTAACATTAACTCCCCAGTCCTCTTGCATTCAACAGGTAAATTCAGCACAAGAAAAATGTTTCTTCCAGGAAAGAGCAAGTAAGCAGCCATTTTGTTTTTGTAAGTTATGCTATGTGAATGAGAACATAGAACAAACATACAGTATGTGCTATCCCAATTTGGCTGCGAAAATGGAAATACAATTTAAGGAGGCTAAAGGTGGCCATACACTCTACAACCATCGCAAGACTTTAGTCTTGCGATGGTTGTAAAGGGATTAAAAAAACGTACGATCTGCCTATCTTGGACAGGCAGATCGCACTCTCGATCATCGCAAGCCCACCCCCCTGAGGGGCGGGCTTCCGATGACCACAATGCTGAACGGGCAGTGTGCGCGTGCGCACACCGGCCCGTTCAGCATTTATCTTCCGAGCACCGTTCTAACCAGCCGAGAATCGTACGATTCCCGGCTGGTTTTCGAACATGCTGGTTCGACAGAAGACGTGCGACCGTACAGTAGAAACGGTCGCACGTCTCCGTTCACACTGCTCGATTATCGTACGAAAAACCGATCGCATACGATTATCGTACGATAATCGTGCAGTGTATGGGCACCTTTAGACTGACGGGGAAAAAAGGATTAACAAAATTACAATTTTCTGCAGAAAGATGGACCCTCCATGACCATTTTCATTTCCATGTATGCTGATGCTTTTCTCCTGGTTTTTTTTTTTTTTACTTGCCTCATAACTGTGTGGACAAAGCAGACCAAAACGACAGTACATGTGCATGGCCAAAGAAGTCAACAAGCCGTAAAAAAGAAGGCATAAACATGAGACCGCCATGGTGTGTATACTGTAACCTTTTCCTAATTCCATAAATCAGGTCACCAAGTCAGAAAAGATTAACTTTTTTTTTCGCATTTAGTGCTTGTAACTTTTTTCATTCCCTGTTAGACGTCTGTGCAAATCCTTCTTTATCCTCTGGGTAAGAGAAAAAATCGTTTTTTTTTCTTTTTTTGCCCTGGAGAGGCCGGGAGTTTTTACTGCTTGTTACCCATGTATACCTGGCAAAATACCTCTCCTTGATTTTGTAAGTTACACACTGGAAAATACATACCGACTGTATGGCACTCATTGAAGTTGGGTGACAGAAGGTAGCACCATGTCTAATGTCCAAGGCTTCATTTGCAACTTCTGCATACATGTGATAATACCAGACTCATGTGTTTCGCAAAAGACACACAACTTTCACCCAGGATTTACACATTTCCCCAATTAAATCCAATTAGAAAACATGTTGGATGAAAGTTCTTTTGTAAAAACATTTCTAAATAGACCTCTTAATGCCCTCAGTTGTAGCTGGGATAGAAAGCATTGAAATATATATATATACACATACATACACACACACACACACACACACACACACACACACACGCACAGTATATATTAGCTCATATCTGGTATATTTTATAAAGCAACATATTTAGAATATATTGTACAAGTATGTATTTTTACTCCTAACAAATCAAGAATTTTTATTGTAAATTGCACAGTTGCACTAGGTGGCAGCAGATTGCAAACTTGTGTGTATCTAGTTAGATCCTTTAGGCGTGAGTT